CTGGAAGAGGCTTCCCGTTGTCTGAGGCTGATAATGTCGAATGCTGATATAGCCTCCTTGTGTAAAAGACAGTAAACCATTCTTTAATGTATTTAATTTGCTTTGAAATATACTAATTTTTTTCCATTTATGTACTTTGGCATTCTCTCAACTGTTGGAAACTTTCTTCTTGTTTATTTTCGTTCTCCTCCAACCACTGCTGTAGTCTTTCCTATTGTTCATTTTCTTTCTCCTCCAACCACTGCTGTAGTCTCTCTCTCTTCTTGTTTATTTTCTCGCTTTTCTTGTTTCCTTTTTTCCCCTCCAACAATTGCTGTAATCTCTCTTGTTTATTTTGCTGTTCGAGCTTCCACTGTTACAGGTTTTTTGCCACTGCTGTTGTCTCTCTTCTTGTTTATTTTCTCGTTCTTCTTGTTTCTTTTACTGTTCTTGTATTGCTGCTATCAAATCTGCTAAGTCGTAGTTTGATTTGCCACTTCTCGTTTCCATCTTTCTTGTATCTGCTTGTTTGTTAATTTCTTGAAGAAATTCTTCCCGAGGATCTTCAGTGATTCAAGTCCTTTCTTTATTAAACTATTTTATTCTTCCTCGATACAAACTTTTTGTACACAGTAGTTCCACAATCAGTACGTTTCTCGTCACTTAACAACTTTTATAATACACGCTATAAATCACAGCAATTCACAATCTCGATAACTTCGCTCTCGACGAGTGCAAAACACACACTTTACGGCTCACTAGCTCGAAACTAACAGAATCATAAATTACACAGAACTCAATGTCACTACTGCTCTCACTTCATTCATTTATATTCACGCTGGCTTTCACTGCCAGGCTTTTATACTAACGAAGAGGGCATCTCGAACACACTCGGACTTCCCCGATCATTCGAGAAACTCATCACGCACGCTACCAGAGCCATACGCGCCAGCAGCGTCACGTGGCTTCCGCTGTCGTAACAAATTAAAATACACATAGCAAGAGTGATTAAAGTGGAAATCTACAAATGGGGAAGAAAACTCAGGAACTAATGTCCCTCTCACCCAGATAATTTTCCTTAGAAAACTTTTAAAAATCAACATTTTATTTTATTTATTTATTTCAACTAATGTGAACAGTTAGCAGCATTTGGATTCTTGCTCAGTGAAGACAAGTTTTGCTTATGAACCTATACTCCCCAACTTAGATACTCCACAAAAGTTCAATTATACTATAATATTGTTTTAGCTCCTCTTGTCCCATGTAGCCGAGGAACCTCTCCTTAATAATTTTCTTATGGGGTTGTGTGACTGACTGGTTTTTGTTTAGCGCAAACTACATAATGGGCTACCCGCGCTCTGTCCACTGCGGGAAATCGAACCCTGGATTTTAGCGTTGTAACGTATCGCTGACACAACGGGAGATTCTTAGGTGGAGACCCTAAGCTCACGCTCACTTTAACGTCTGAATAGAGTTATTAAATTAGATATGCGTTTAGCATTCTCTATTAATTATGTTTTGCTTTTAGTGTTGAATTTCAAAGATGGCAAATCGAGATTCATAAAGCCGTTATTAAATATTATTTTGCATGCGAATTTAAAACGGGTCACAAAAATGTGGTTACAAATGGGACAAACATGGAGGTCAGACTTTTTTCTTTCTAATTTTCATCACTTCAAGCTGCCACTTTGTTGATTGCACTGCTTGTTGTAACTTCGTATTGCACAACTTTTAGCAATGCATTACATGTATAATCTGATCACTTATATAAAAGTACCTGTATTAAAACTACAATATTTAGTAAAGACTAAAGAGTTAAACTAATTTTGTACTTGTAACAGTGTACAGAGAACTTCTAATAATACTCAAAAGTCACATTTATAGGTAAGAAAGTTATTAAACGAGTTACTGGTTCTACTAATTAATAAATAGATTTTTAGAATAAGTTTTTCTTGAAGTTCGAAAAATTGTGATTACTCTCAACTTATAGTTATAACTGTACTGTGTTACTATTATATAATTATTCAAATATTACTGAATTAAACAAGAAATTATAAAAGAAAAACCGTATTAGTATTATTAATGTCACAAGTGAGGTGTCTTTAACTTTAAGCTCAATGTTAGTATTTTTGCTGTCTTTGAGTTACATAGGTAAAGGAATGGTCAATATATAGCATAATTTTCAGATTCTGTTATTAATATTAGTTAACATTGCTATTATTCAGTATTGCTACAACTACTATTATTAAGGGCTTGGATGTTGCTGACGTTATGACTATGACAGTATGTGGGTGATGCTACTTTACTAAAAGGAATATATATATATATATATATAGTCGTGGGAGGCGAGGACGACACGAGGGAGTAGG